CCCATTGAAATAAAGACCCTTTGCATTACTCCGTTTTTCATAGCAACATTTTTGTAATGTGTAGTGCAAACTTTTAGAAAATACCTTGAATAGTTTTTAAAAAATCAGAATTTGACTAGGAACCATGAGAGGGTACTATACAAGATATGACCCAAAAACACATAACTTTAGTATTATAGTACTATATTCAGATTATTATACATCCATACTGCTACATCAAAAACTAGGGCTTATCTAGATATGGAAAAGCATTAACTGATATAACACAAACAATACTTGAACCCAAAATCTCTTGTATATATTGTCTTCAAAATTATACAATGATTTTTTTTAAAATTTTAGGTAATGTTCATGCAGTTTTATGCAAAGATGGAAAGAGCTATTGGCTTACTAAAGAACACTCCACGTACTGTAGAGAGGAAAGGAGACGTGTTCTTCAGAATGGTGGATCTATCAGCAGTAATGAGCCTAAAGGTCTAATAGAAGGACTAATAAAAAATACTCGTGGCCTTGGCCATCATGGAAACCCAAAGATGAAGAAAACAGTTATTCCTGTACCAAATACAATCTCTTTCTCTGTTGATAACTCATGTCAATTTCTTATTATAGCAACTAATGGACTTTGGGAAGTTTTGGATAAAAGTGAGGTTGTGCTGTTAACAATAACTTTGTTTTCTACTTACTTGGCAAAATATCATCATGCCCAACTGATGAAAAGTTGCATTCCCAAAGCTTCAAAATTATCTTTGGAACATCAATTCTATTCATGGTATATGAATCGTGATTTTTTTCCTGAATCAGATTTAGGCAATGAAGAGGAAACTGAACCAAGTTTTCAGTTAAAGCTCCCAATTAATAGTACAGAACAAAAAGTAGTCCACTCAAGAAGTTGTAATATTTCTACAGAAAAGCAACTATCAGAAAATTCTTTAGAAACACCAGTTAGTGTTGCTACATCTTCAAAAGAAAGCACTCCACCAGGCATTAAAGTAAGTCAAAAAGTAAATAACAAAAATTCAGAGGACCTAGTATCTGAAGGTCATGAATTTTTACAGATATCTGAAGATTCAGAAATAGATTCTACAACATTTTATAATCTTGCAGCAAAATATATTACTAAGCACTTAGTAAAAGCTGCTCTTAAAGCAGGTTCTAGAAATAATGTTTCTGTACTGCTAGCTCTCTTAAATGGATGTGATACCATGCCCACTTTTATTTAGCGCTGAGGTGCTAATGGGGAAAAACAGAGTAAGAAACATTGAGATAATGCATAAAAAATAAACACTTGTTTAAAAAGAATGATTACCATGATTTCCTTTTTATACCACTTTATTCAAACCTGAGCACTCAATATAAAACTAAACACTGGTGAACTGTTATTTTCTTTGCTAAGCCCAAATTGCTGCAAATTTACATCTGCACATGTTAGTTTTTGCTAGCAGTTCAACATTTAAATAGATTAAATCATCTTTTCTGACACTTGGTAGATTTCATATAATGAAAATAAGAATTAGTGCAATATACTGGACAAATCAAAATAAAATGGACTTTGGGAAACAACGTTGTAGAATTCATTACAGACAGACAGTAGTATTTATGTTACAGGTACAGGAGCATCTTTTATTACTGTTCTAGCCATGAAGGAAGAACTTAATCCCCCTTGCAATCTGGGGAAAACAAAATGTTAGCTCTTTAAAGTAACTGTACATATTGTATACTTTTAAGCACTTCTTAAATAGTACAGAGTATTAAACAGATGTAGACTACAATGAAGTACCCTATTTACAGTACATTGATATCCCAATTTAAAATCAAGTTGAATGTACATAATTGTTAGTGCTCTGACCAGTTATATTCTTAGGGAAAATTGTGTTAATGGTCAACACTGATTAAAATCAAAATCAGCTACCTAGTTTTTATAAGATATGTCTCAACAATTTGTTAGGAAAGATGTTGTGTTGCATCAGAAGTTGAATTCATTAGTTGTGACAATTTAAAAGCAGGAAAAATGTGTGAAGCTTGATTTTTTTAAAATTTTAAACTGGGTTTTGACAAATTTATATATAGTGTAATAACTAAAGAAAATTGTTCTGCAAGCACAGGATCAATAAAATTGTTAATGTTGCACATATTTCACTTGTAATGAAATTGTGGAATGTATATTTAAATAGTAATTATCCACATAAACATTTTGCATAAATACTGTTAATAAGCTCACAGGAAATTCAGAAGGTATATTAACCTTTTTTTTTTTTTGCCCTATCCCAAATGGAGGATCCAAATTCTATTCATTACATTGTAACAGTAACCAATATCCAACACTTGTGGAACTAACTGGTTAGCTGCAGATCCATGGAGCAGTTCAATCTCTATTCCTAATGATATGTAATCCAGTTAAAAACCTCTTAAGTGAAGCAGGTTTAGCCAGCTTCTTTCCCCACCCCACCCCATTGTTGAAACATAACAGCCAGTGATACATGCATGTTATTAAAAATTAGGACAAAATCATTCTGTATTAGAAACAACTATTTCATAAGTCTCTTCACTTTTGGAAGCTGTATCGGCCAGGTTAAACGTTCCAAATTCCATTGTTATTAACAAGTTAGGAAGTGGAAGAATATTCATGACAGTTTAAAGCAGCTGAAAGTTTAGTTGCTACAACATTGACTTTTAGTTGGTTGTGTTGGTTCAGTAAGATCTACTCCTCTTCCTCTACTAGAGTTAGCTCCTGTATTCTGTGGTTCATTCTTCGGCAACTTTTTAGCTATAAAAAATATAGCAAAATTAGTGTGTGTGTGTGTGTGTATGTATGTATGTGTATATATATATATATATATATATATATATATATATATATATATATATATATATATATATATATATATATATTAAAAGGCATTAGCTGTCTTTATTTATAGCTAACAGAACATTTTTTTTTATTCTGACTAATCTTCCACATAAGTTGATAAAGTTCATCTGATCCTTACACAGTGCTTCTGGAATAAGCCTTGTTTTAATTTGGCTCTACCAGCAGCTAGCTCTAATAACTATACCATATATTTCATACCATATTTATTTTTTTCGGCAGCCCATAAGCATTTCTTCAAAAAATCTGAAAGATTATGGAGCTATTTCAATATGTCTGTGTATAATTTAAGCTTGCCCATTATTGTTCACTGTGACTTATTTTAAAAACCATGTTGAAAAAAGTCATGGCTTATTACAAAGTGTTCAAGGAGTCAATTTTTCTATATAAATCAGAGGTCCCCAATCTTTTGGCACCAGAGATCAGTTCCATGGAGAGAGGTTCTTCCGTGGACCAGAGGGTACGTGATTTTATGTGCTGCCTGCATCCCACATTGTTTGTGTGAATCAGTTACTGGTATGTTGCAGTTACTAGTCCACAGACCGGGGGGTTGGGGACCTCTGATATAAATTGCTGAGGTCCCTGGAAATATAAATGCTGCAAAATTGGAATAATATATTTTGTTTGGTTTATATCTCATTCAAATTAATTTTTCTGCTTCATAATTTTTTTAATATTCAGGATTACTTTTCTAATTTTCTTTTCTAAGTTTAATAAGATAAGATTGTACTCATTTTGAAATACACACAAAAAAGCAGCTCAGTACTGAAGATTACTTAGGACAAGGTTTAAGTAAAGATGGTCTTTGACTGAAATGGTATAGGATTCCCTGCCTGAGCAGGGGGTTGGACTAGATGACCTCCAAGGTCCCTTCCAACTTTATTATTATTATTATTATTATTATTATTATTATTATTATTATTATTATTATTATTATTATTATTACAACTGAGCCTCAAAATTTCTGTTACTGAGAAAGTTAAGTGAGTTTTGCCCCATTTTACGATGTTTCTTTCCACAGTTGTTAAGAGAATCATTGCAATTGTTAAGTTAGTAACATGATTGTTAAATGAATTTGGCTTGCCCACAGATTTGCTTGTCAGAAAATCACAAAAGCGATCACAAGGTTCCAGAACACATAACTGTCATAAATATGAGTCAGATGCCAAGCGTTTGAATTTTGATCACATGTCCCTGGCAATGTTGCAATGGTCGTTAAGTGTGAGAAACGATCGTAAGTCACTTTTTTCAGTGCCATTGTAACTTTGAACGGTCACTACACAAACTGTGATACGTTGAGGACTACCTGTAAACACTTTACTTTCACACTGGAAATCATTTTGTAAACACATTGGAAATATAAATGCTTTCTAATGGGACTTTACCTACTTAAAAGAATAAAAGAAGATGTCAGCATAACAAATATGATATAGCTCCAATCAGCTGAACAAATAGAGTAAACACTGGAATGAGCTTAATTTGACATAATCAGTAAAAACTGATCTAACACATATTCTCAGATACTGAAATTAAATATACGGTAACTTTGGATTTGGGTTTAGTATTACTTGAACTGGTTCATCTCAATAGGCCTAATGAATAAGATATGCCAAATTAAGGCTTTAATTTAGGCTATGTTCAATGTACAAATAAGCTTGGATTCCATTTCATATGTGTAACAGCCTTCAGAACTCATTTATTTAATAAGTTTATTAATTATGTGCTCCTTTTGATAAGACTAAATTTTCCTCAACCAATCATGATTTATGGGGCCATAAATTGCCCACCATAGCATTATCTGAAATATTGTATTTTTTTAATTTAAAAACAAAAGTGCTTCATTAAAAATAAATCATTACATATTCAAAGTGAACATTATCTTTGTTAATCTACTTTTTATTTAAATATTCTGCATTCCATCAATACTTTTGAATTTATCAATTTATAAATAGTTGCAAATTGTATAAAATCGCTGTGCATTTTATGATTAAAAGTGTCAAATTATTACTATCAAGCAGAAATCAGAAATTAGGCTGTCCATTTACCACTGTACTCTGAAGATTTTGATGACTGCTCTATCTTAAGTATCACAGAAATATTTTTGAACTGTAACTTTAAGACAGACTTCACTTACCAATTGCCATGAATATTTCATTTACATTCACTGATGTTTTAGCTGAGGTCTCCATGAACAATAAACTGTTGTCATCTGCATAAGACTGTGCTTCCTGTAAATTTAAAATGCCATTTATTTTTCTTGCTATAATTCTGAATTATACAAACTATAAGTATTGTCTGGAGCTAGAATAGTGTTTTAAAAATCAAATTTTGACTTGACTAGTTTAGTCAGATCAATGCTCTCATAAAAACTAGCAGCTTTAAATATTTGCTGTGACATCTACAAAAATGAACAAAAATGCAACTGATGAAGTAGAAATGAAGTATGAAACTCCTGAATGATTTCTTCTCAAGAGCTATTCTCTATTATTATAAGCTCATTTGGTGATTAAAGGATAAAGAAAATTGGATTCTAATTATGGTTCTATACTTATCTGAAAACAAAACGGATAACAAGGAAATTGTTAGAAATTATATGCATTATTATACTGTTGCCTCTATAGAATTTATTTAGAGTTAATTTTTACAGTAAACTCAAAATTTTAAAAAAAATCTTGAAGAAGGAAATAACAAATAACAAACCAAAATATACTTGTAATGATAAACATAATGATGCTAAATTTAACACATCTCCCATAACTATCCTATTTCATAGGAATGTCTGCAAAGTCATGGGAATTTCTGCAAAGTCATGTTTCTGATTTATGCAATTCCACATAAGATTCAGAAAGGCATCAAATAACAGTCTCCAAATAAGCAGATGTCATCTCTAAGACTTAATTTTTGAAAATACTATAAAATTAATACAGTTGAACCTCTGGTGACAATTGAAAACCAAGAAAATATATACAGTATTATAAATTTGTGATATGACATTAGCACTTATATGTGTTAACTTATTGTTGATAATTCTCTTGGCAGTGTTATTCATCCTTACTTAAAAGCTAATGAAATATTAATACAAGACTTGAAGAATAGATGTGCTTTGCTAAAACTTTGACAAGCAAATGAAAGCACTTCAGATGTTTCTTTCCAATACCCTCTTTTACAGCTGCAGCTTTTCTTTACAATGTTTATACACAAAGAGTTGCATTATTCATGGCTCTCAAAATTCCTGACAGGTCCTACTTTTATCCATAATTATCATCAATTAAAATCTGCCTGTCTGTTAAGTATGCATATATTTTTTCACATTTCACCTTGCTATAAATCTGTTAAATAGTTTAACGATTGGCAACAATGAATCCCAACACTGTGTGACAATTTAAATTGGGTCCTCTATAGTCCAAATGTAATATTTTATTTATTCAAGCATATTAATTAACATGTGTTAGGTAAACTAACACAGAATATACCTGCACTTCTGAATTTCAGGCAGCATCTAAGACTGCATTTTTAACTTTTTTTTGTTTACAGAAGGGGCGTTGACTTACCTGAACGCCTTTTCTCAGCGCAGAGATGGATAATCCACGCAGTGGGTTGAGACTGTATTCCTGGCCAATCAGATCAGTCAGCCAAAGTTGCCACGCCCCATCCTGGACCATGATTCTTCAGTCTTGACTCGAGCGCAGCCATTGACTGACAGTAAGACGTTTTGGCTCCACTAAATATATCCTATTATCCTAGTCTATAAGGGTGGGTGTGGATTATCCATCTCCGTGCTGAGAAAAGGCGTTCAGGTAAGTCAACGCCCCTTCTCCAGCACTGGAGATGGATAATCCACGCAGTGGGACATACCAAAGCCTATTGTCCCTTGGGTTGGGGAATAGACTGGTCCCGTGTGTAACTTTGGTCTAGAACCTGCTGGAGAACCATCCTACTGAAGGAGGCCTCTGCAGAGGAGTACTTGTCGATTTTGTAATGACGAATGAATGGAGAGGACGAGACCCAAGTGGCTGCCCTGCATATCTCTTCAATAGAAGCCTGCATGGCCCATGCTGCTGAGGTGGCAGCACTCCTTGTGGAATGGGCCGTGATATGCTTGGGGACTTGCAAGGACTCCGCCTGGTATGCCCCAGTGATGCATGCCCTAATCCACCTACCGATGGTAGAGGACGAGACCTTCCGGCCCCTAGTAGCGGGGTGAAAGGATATGAAAAGCGCTTCCGAGCATCGGAATTCCGCTGTGCGCGAAATGTAATGTCTTAGTGCCCTTCGTACGTCCAAGATGTGCCATTGTTGCTCCAGGGGATAAGCTGGGTTTGGACAGAAGTCTGGTAGGACTATTTCCTGTGATCTGTGAAAAAGGGAGTTGACCTTTGGAATGAATGAAGGGTCTATTCTTAGGACTACCTTGTCCCTGTGAAAATGGCACAGGTCCTTCCTCATTGAGAGAGAAGCTAACTTGGATATCCGTCGAGCTGACGTGATGGCTACTAAGAATGCTACCTTATGGGTCAGGTAGCGAATGTCACATGTTTTGAGTGGTTCGAAGGGCGCTCTGGTAAGAGCTTGTAGTACTTGTGGTAGTTCCCACGATGGATACCTGTGCACGGTTGGCGGTCTGATGTTTGCAGCCCCCTTAAGGAAGGATCGTATTAAGGGATGCTTGCCCAAGGATTCACCGGGGCTGGCAGAAAGTATAGTTGAGAGGGCAGTGATTTGCCTGCGCAGCATGTTTGGCGAGAGGTCCCTCTCTAGGCCATCTAGTAAAAATTCTAGGATCTTGGGAACTGTGATCCCTTCGAGTAACAATTCCTGTTTAGAGCACCATGATTGGAAGCTTCTCCACGTGGCCTCATAGATACGGTTCGTGGAGGGGCGCCTTGATGCCTGTATGACCCTAATTACACCCTGTGAGCAAGCCCCCTTGGCTAAAATTGACCGTTCAAGAGCCAGACGGCTAGTTGTAGCCATTGTGGCTCTGGGTGGGAGATCTCCCCCTGCTTGAGGGAGATCCTCTCCGGAGGAATCCGCCATGGATTCGTGCGGGAGAGACTCCTCAAGTCTGCGAACCAAGGTCTCCTTGGCCAATAAGGGGCCACAAGGATTACCTCGGCCCTTTCCCGCAGAATCTTGCGTACTACCGCCGGAAGGAGAGGTAAGGGTGGAAACGCGTACAGGAGCCCCCTTGGCCATGGGCTCCGTAACGGGTCCGTCTGCTCTGCTCCCTTGGATGGGAATTGGGAGAAGAAGCGAGTTAGGTGGGCATTGGAAGGAGAGGCAAAGAGGTCCACCTGGGGAAGCCCGAAGCGGTGACAGATCTCCCTGAAGATCCTCGGGTGTAGTTGCCACTCCGAGTGATCTATTGTTGATCTGCTCAACAGATCTGCTTGGATGTTTGCCTCCCCCGATATGTGGTCGGCCTTTATGGAGGCCAGATTTTGTTCCGCCCAGGCCCCCAGTAGGAGGGCCTCGGCCGAGAGCGAGCGAGAGTGTGTGCCCCCCTGACAGTTTATGTGGGCCTTGGCTGTCACGTTGTCCGTCAGGACCAGTACGTGCCTGCCTTTTATGCTGCTGTGAAAATGCCTTAACGCTAGGTGAATAGCCCGCAGCTCGAGCCAGTTTATGTTGTGTCGGAGATCCACCGCTGACCAGCGGCCCTGTGTCCACTTGGTCCCCAAGTGGCCTCCCCAGCCGAATAAGCTCGCATCTGTTGTGACTACTACTCTGTCTGGTTCCCTGAAGGGGGACCCCCTGAGGAGAGCTGGAGATAGCCACCACCTGAGGGAGTGTCGTACTCTCAGAGGTATGCCTACCCTCTTCCGGGATGCACTGATTTGCTGTCTCTGAAACGGGAGCATGAACCACTGCAGTTCTCTTGAGTGCAGCCTTGCCCAAGGAACTATTGCTATGGTCGATATCATCTTCCCTAGCAGCTGGGAGAGGCAGACCAGCGTCACTGACTGACCGCGGCTTACCTGTTTTACGGCTTTCTTTATGCTGCTGAGGCGTTCCTGTGATAGGTACACCTTGCACTCCTTTGTGTCTATGACCGCTCCCAGATGGAGTATTCTCGTAGTTGGGGTTAGATGGCTCTTTGGAAAGTTCACCGAGAAGCCGTGGTCCTGCAGCAGTTTTATCACTAACTTTAGGTCCGCCCGAGACTGCTGGGCGGACGATGACTGGATTAGAATATCGTCCAGGTAGCACTGGACTCTGACTGGTACGTTTCTTAGGTGTGCTGCCAGAACCGCCAGAATCTTGGTGAACACCCTGGGCGCTGATGACAGGCCGAATGGAAGTGCCCTGTATTGAAAATGGTGCCCCCTGTAGGCAAACCGTAGAAAGCGGCGGTGAGCCAGAGAGATAGGGATGTGCAAGTATGCCTCCGTGAGGTCGATCGATGCCAGAAAATCCCCTTTCCTTACGCTTCCAAGGATGGAGCGTAGTGTCTGCATTTTGAATTTGCGGTATTTTATGTAGAAATTTAGCCTTTTTAAATCCAAAACGGCTCTCCAACCCCCCGAGGGTTTTGGGACCACGAAGAGGATAGAATAAAACCCCTGGTCTCTCTGGTTCATAGGCACCGGCTCTACGGCCCGTATGTTTAGAAGGTGCTGAACGGCCTCGTTCATGAGCCTTCTCTTTGTTGGGTTTGTGGGACAGGGGCACGGGCGGAAGCGGTTCGGGGGCTTTGAGAGAAATTCTAGAGATAGACCATGACGTATGGTGTTCCTGACCCATACGTCCGTGGTGGTCTCTTCCCACTGGGGAGCAAACCCTGCTAGTCTGCCCCCTATGGGAAGGTCTGGGTGGGAGTCATCTGGTACGGCGGAAGGGGCGGTTGTTCCCCCGAAAGGGCCATCTTCCCTGCGTTTGCCTATGTCTTGTGTTCTGTCTGTCCCCCTGTCTTTCCCTATCCTGTCTAGCTTGGAAGGGTTGGGAATTTTGAAAGTAGTTGACCCTGGCTTCCGTACGAAAGGATTGTTTCCTTCCCCAGGAGCCGGGTCTCTTGTCCTGCCTTTTAAGCATGTGTTTAAGGACCTTGCGCTTGTCCTTGTTCTCTGTCAGGTATGGCGTTAGTGCCTCACCAAACAGCTTTGCCCCTTGGTACGGAGCCGAAGCCAATTTCCACTTGGATTTGGTATCCGCCTGCCAGTTCTTTAGCCAGAGGATGCGCCTGCTCATGTTGTTTGCCGCCATTGCCTTGGCTGAAAACTTGGTCGCTAAAAGTGTTGCGTATTCCGTGGCCGCTACCATTTTGCTGAGTTCCTGGTGAGTGCGTATATCCTCCATGGAAACCCGGCCCTGTAACTCACGGAGCCAACAAAGTGTGGCTCTGGTGAAAAAGGACGCGGAGGTAGTCGCCCTGGTAGCCCAAGCTATTGCCTGGTGTGTTCTCCTGTAGTTGGACTCACTCTTTCGGTCCTCGGCTTTAAGAGCCTCAGCAAAATCTCCTGACATGGCCGTGTCCGATATCAGGGGACCTATGGGCTCGTCCACCACCGGCACCTCCAATGTTCCTCTAGCTCCCTTGCTACGTTAAATAGCTTCCTCTCCGCATTGCTAGGAAGCGGTAGGGAGGTTGGCGCTGCCCACTGTTTCCTTATTGTGTTTAGGAACATGGTCGGGCATGGTATGCGGTGTTGAGTGGTTACCTTTTCGGCGAACGTCGGCTCAGCCTCCGTGTCAACTGTGACAGGCTCCGCTGGTGTCCCATGCCCCAGATGGGCTGTGGCCTCAGCCTTGCGCAGAATGGTAACAAAAAGAGAAGGGTTAAACAGGCCGCTGAAGGACGGCCCTTGAGGTGAGGTGTCCTCCTCTTCCTCAGACATTTGAATCCCTTGTGACGTACCTGGCTGGTCCAGGTAAGCTTCCTCAGAGACCGACGAGTCTGAGAAGGAGGAGAGGTCCTGATGGTCCTCCGTTTCCTCCCGATGCCTCGTTCTAAGTCCTAGAGGCTTGGCTTTTGAAGTTTGAGCCCTGGCCTCAAATGCACGGTCCACTGCCTGTGCTATTAGGGTAGCTAGCAGATCCCCCGTCAATGCAGGAGGAGTAACCATTGCCTGCGACCCTGCAGGTGCTGTGGTTAGCATGGTCCTCGGGGTTTCCTGTAACCTCCGTGGGGAGGGGGATCGGGAGAGCGATGAGAATTCGCCTATCCCACCCTCTGTTTGGGACTGTGATGAGCTCCCTAATGACCAAATGGCCCGTGGGGATGAAGGGAGACCCAGCGGTAGATCAGGACCTATTCCCCCATTCTGCCTATTTTCAATTCTGGCCCTTTTCTGGGCTCTGTCGAACTCTTTTTCTAGGGCTTGGTGTCTTCTGATTGCCTGTTTGTCAGCCTTCTTTGATGACTTCCTTGCAGCCTTTCTAGGGGCTGCAGAGGATTCCGAATCCTCTGAAGCAGGTGCTCCAGAGGATGAAGGCGGGGCTCCAGTGGAGGGAATGATTGCTTCCTCCATTCTCCACTAACGCCGGGCCGCGATAGGGGGGACCCAGGTAGTAGGAGAGCTCCAACTTTGAGTAAGGACAGGCGCACTACTGGGGGCGTCTGGAACGCAGGAGCAAACTCTGCAAAATTGTCAGAGTTAGTCACTGTGCACGGATAAGAACAGGCATGCTAATGGGAATGCCTGGAACCCAGTTTGACTATGGTGGTTAAGGACAGGCACGCGACTGGGGATGCCTGGAACCCACCACTAAATCCAGAAGCGTACGGGCCACTAATGGGGGACCCGAAGTCCGGAAGGAGCCAAAGGCAACTAAACACAGTCAGTTATGAAAGGTTCTTATTTACTTTAGGTAGAAGACAACAAGTCCTGGAACCAGCAGCTATGTGTCTGATTTGAATGTCTCTGAATGAATAATAGATGCTTTAGTACCCCAGTACTGCTTGCCTATTAAGTCACTCCAGCGGCTGAACCTAGCTTTCTCAGGGAGCCTTAGATCCCCTGTTTGGACAAAAATATGGCTGCCGCTGCCAGGAGACTACTGCGCATGTGTTAAAAGGAGCAGGAGATTATTGCGCCTGTGCTAAAAAGGCTGCCTGTGCCACGTGCGGTTGTAACAATGAGCCGCGCGTGCTCCCAGCTGTGCAGACAATGGCGCCTCGTTTAAAAAATCCTGAGCAGCCTGGAGTGAAAAAGACTGCTCCTTCGCACGCCAGCTGTTTCCCTTAATCAATCTCCCTCCCAGCATGCGTCCCCTTTGTCCTCCGCTTCCCTCGCTAATTGCTTGCCTTTCTGTCTTTTTGTTTTGTTTGTTTTAAACGCGAGGGGTTGCCCGAGCCTCCCCGTTTGTTTAAGGCGGCTGCCGGCTGCTGGAAGGTGGCTGGGGTTTGGGTTAGGGAGGGGAGTTAGGGATTTCCCCCTTTTAAGTGGGGGTGGTATCCCCTGTAGGGAATCTGACTTCCTGAGTCTTACAATTTAGCAAGGAAATTTTTGAGTAATCAATTAAATTGAATTAAATTATCTCTAATTAACTTTTAAACTAAGCAATTTCAGCTACTAGAAGAAATCCCCCCCAATGGAAAGGAACTATACCTGCCCAGGAACCAAAGATGTAGGTCTTTCTGTATGGCCAGATCAGTCAAGACTGAAGAATCATGGTCCAGGACGGGGCGTGGCAACTTTGGCTGACTGATCTGATTGGCCAGGAATACAGTCTCAACCCACTGCATGGATTATCCATCTCCAGTGCTGGAGAATTATGTAATGATAATATTTATCCACTTGCATTTGCATGCTTTCAAACTGCTAGGTTGGCAAGAGTTAGAGCAAAGACAGGAGCTCACTCCAACATGTGAAGCTCGGGTGTTGAAACTGGACTGTTGGCTTTCCAGTCAACAAGCCCGGCTTCTTCACTCCTGAACCGCTGCACCACCCCAAGGTACCACTTTGGGTGGGAAAGTAACAGCATTCTGTAAAATCATACTGACCATTTGACCACAGAAATGTCTTTGGACAGCACAGACACAATGGCCCTTGAAATGGAGATGAGCATTATTCACTATAGTTGGCAACAATTAGCAGAATAAAATCCTTTACTTCTAACAGTAAAGATAGGACTCCTTTATTCATGATAGTATAACATGAGTTATGCTCTTCAATCAATTACAATTATTTTAATAAATATGACTGTGTTGCTTAATAAGGAGAGAGAATTGATAGTTCTTCATGTAGTACTTTGTTGCTTTAAATACAGTGGTACTTGGTACTCAATGTTAATTGATCTTGGGAAGCATGACAAGTGCCAAACAAAGAAAGTGGACTTTCAACGTGACCCTTTGTTTGGCAGTGAAAAACCTTCTGTGTGTCCTTTTTCCTATGCCCGTGATTTCCTAGCATGCCTGCCTTCCTGTCTGCCCTCTGTGGCCATCCCTATCTTCCTTTTGCAGCAACCTTCCCAGTATGGCCTACTCCCTCTCTGCGGTTGTCCATCTCTTCTTTTTGCAGGGTGCCAAATACTAAAGAAACTATGAGTACCAAGACAACAATTTGGATCAAAATATGTTAATTCAATGACTTCTGAAGCAGTCAAATACCAAGGTACAAGTGTAATTACTATCATTTGTTTCTCAGCTATTGTCATTCCAGCTATTATTTTTACATTGATCAGTAGATTTAGATTAGGGGTGTTAAACTGCCAGCCCACGGGCCAGATGCGTCACATGGAAGCTGTGCCCATCCCATTGCCGGCAATGGCAAAACCGGCCCAATATATTGCACGTCACGTGATGTCGCAAGTTTGACATGCCTGATTTAGATGTTTCCGAAGATGAATGATGACTTAAAATATTCATAATATGAATCATAAAATAAAGATCTAACTAGCAGAATCCTATCAAAGTAATATTACTAGTGTTTTACATTTCTATACATTATTTCAGCAAAGCTACAACTTCAGACAAAATATTAGAACTAAAACTTACCTGAAAATCTACAGCCCTTTTGTTAGCTAGATCAGCCTTATTTCCTGCTAAAGCTATTACAATGTTGGGACTTGCTTGCCTCTGGAGTTCTTTTACCCAGTTTTTTGCTCTTGCAAAAGATTCCTGTTAAGTATTTAAAGAAAAAACTCATTTCTTTTTCCATTTTATAAGATGCCATAAAAGGATATGGCTGGCTATCCAATGCAAAAAACTACATTTTAATTTAATTGTTTTCCCTTTTGTTGCATAAACTCCTAATTTTACAAACTCTTATAATTATAAACTGCTTCAAAACTCTTGACATCAATGAAGATGTGTTTAGGATTATAAATTAATCTATAAAACAACCAAGTCATTAACATGAAATAGGCAAAAGAAAATGTTTTGCAAATAGCAAATATCTATATAGCTTATTACAGACTTCCATTCCTACATTTTTTCCCTTTAACAATTTTTATTACTTTACTGAACTATATCTTGTATATATATCGTATTCTTTGTACCTTTGATGAAATAGATTACGATCTATAAAAATTTATTCTATAATAAATGTAGATAGATTACAAGATTCTTTTAATATCTTCAAGCAAAGAATGGAACAAACATGACATAATGTAGATGTTCATTGTAACATAAAATGGATACATGACTGGCCCAAAGTCACCCAGGTAGCTTTCATATAAAATATTAATATTATAAAAATAAACAAGAGAACATGGCAACAAGCCACATAAGATGCAGAAATGATACCTGTATAAAAATATGTAACTACCTTAACTAAACTTGAAGGAAAAAAATCCAAAATGGATAGCAATGTTTTTCACTGAGTAAAATCAAAAGCACAATAGTATAATTTGATATTTTATGGTATAGAACAGATCTTTGTAATATTTTGCAAAGTAACAACACCATTTGGGAACATATAAATTGCTTTGAAAGTTGAAAAACAACAGCAATTTTAGGAGCAATATATAGCACAAGATGATTTCTTGAAATCTATTCTAAAGTTAACCCCCCTAATACTTAGAAAATGAGGGAAAACATGCTATTATCCTAAATTTTTGAATGTAAATAATCTGTTATTCAACAACTGCCATTGAAAGTTGAAAGTAGGGCAAACATATTTGTTTGTTATGATGGAAATACTATGTCACATTGTATAAATTAATACTATTTCAATGTTTTCTATTGATAACCAAGATTTCAACTATCACATTAACTTTACCTACCTCATTGGTAATATCGTATACAACTATAGCTGCCTGTGCTCCTCTGTAATACATTGGTGCCAAACTGTGGTACCGTTCTTGACCAGCTGTATCCCAAATTTCAAATTTTATTGTTGTGTCATCAAGACATACCGTTTGCGTTAAAAAAGCAGCTAAAGAAAAAGAGAAAGGAACAGAAATTGGGTTCTCTGCATGTCCCATTGGCTTAGAACATTCTGTTCTGCCACACTCCATTAAAAATTCCATGATAGTAATAGTACTTTATTTTACAGGTTTATAGACAGAGGGCTGCATTTTAGAGTTAACATAGTGTATATACTATACACTATGTGTATATACTAGTGTATATACTACTGTATTTTCCTGAAAGTAAGATCTACCCCTAAAATAAGCCCTAGCTTGATTTTGGGGGCTGGGCCTAATATAATAAGCCCTATCCCAAAAATAAGCCCTAGTTTTGGGATGAGGCTGCCTAAATATCAAGCTAGGGCGGGGGTGGAGCCCCCCCCACATGCCCCACACCCACGTACCATTGCACCCTGCCTCTCCTTGCCAGCCCAATTCTTCTGCTGCATTCCCCAGCCTGCATTTTGTAGTCAGAGGCCTTTCTGGATGGCCTCTGCAGTGAGAACTGAGCTATGGATTCAATCCGTAGCTCACTGGAAAGGCCTCTGACTGTGAAATGCAGGCCCAAGCTCTATTCTTAGCTGCAGAATGAAGCTGCTCCTTCAGCTGCAGAAGCGGGTTGGCTGGTTGATGCCACTGGCGCAAGATGAGTGGAAAAGAAACCCCTTTAAAATAAGATTCGATGCCTCTTTTGGAGGCAAAATAAATAAATAAAATAAGACCAGGTCTTATTTTTGGGGAAACATGGTATAAGGTCAAATCTAAATTCAATTCATAATTTTGCAATGTTAAATTTCAATAAAAATATTTAAATATAGGAAGACAATCTCATATAGCAAAGTAGAACTTTGTAACCTTGTACTGATGACACTTATCTAAATCCAAACGATAAGGGGTTTTATGATTAATGATAAGAACTCCTTTTCTACTTCACATATTCAAAGATTACCAGACTGAGGAAGATTCATTTAATAACTTGTCCATATAATCACAAGTACTGAGCTTAATTAAAAAAACCCTTATCTTTATTCAGAAGGAAAGCTGATCTTTGTACTATATTATTTCCTTATTTCCTATGAAACACTTTGCTATACCCCAAGTTTCTAAAATTAAATGATTAATTCCAACTTCATTTTTCTAGTTTCTTAGTTATTATGGGAAATACCTTTCTTAAAGATGATTTCAGTGCAGAGAAACACACACACACACACACACACACACACACACACGTGTGTGGATGTGTGTGAGGTATTCTGGGAAGAACAAGTAAATCCAAAACAAGGTAGAGGTAATAGACCAGGGGCATCAAACTCAATTTCATTGAGGGCCGCATAAGCATTGCGGTTGTCCTTGGGGGGGCTGGGGGTGTGTGGCTAGGGTGGGTGTGGCCTACTGGGTGGGCATGGATGGAGTGGGTGTGGTCTACTGGGTGGGCATAGCCAGCTCTACATCGTTTGAAAGCCTGGGCAGGAATGGGACAGATCTGAGGGTCTCTGGCAGAAGGGGGTAGCGCCAGGGCAAGCACCAAGGCATGGTGCATTTCTTCATTCCTCACAAAGAGTGACACCTCCCCAGCATGACCAGGGGGTGGGGTCAACGCAGCAGGGGCTGGTTCCTCGCTGTTTCTGGACGGCCTTGTGGAGCTAAGACTGAATGCATTTCAGCATAGATGACCACCACAAAATTGTATATTGGCTCCCAGCTGGCCTGGGCCAGGGTCAAGGCACTGGGGGCTGTTCCCTCACTGTTTCCAGGATGGCTTCGCAGGCCACATGAAACCACTTCGCAGGCTGCATCTGGCCCCTGGACCTTGTGTTTGACATGTCTGTAATAGACTGTTACAGCTCTGCAGCATATTGCAAAGAAAAGAATAAAAGTGTAAAACACATGGGAACAAGCTTTAATTCTGATCTGTATTATAAGTGATAGTGTCTCAGACAGATTCAAATTTCTAAGAAAGTACAAGTTAGATCCAATGGTTTATAAATTTTCTTTATTTTTTATTTTATTGATTAGATTTTATGCCACCAATCTGGGCTTACAAACATTGAAAGTCAGCAAACATTGAAAATAATCAGACAATAAATAATAATGGATTCAATTCCAAAACAACTGGAGCAGCACCTGAACACCATCAGTACCGACAAATTCACTATAAGTCAATTGTAAAAGTTGACTTTACTCGGAACAGCTTACACCCTGTGACGATATCTATAACACCATCAAACATTTATATCTGCCTACTCAGGTCCTTGGAAAGGACTTGATAGGTAGACAAAAATGCCAAATCCAGTCTGAATGTTTGGTTGACTATGCAACAAATCATAATTTACAATTGAAAGATGGAGAAAGAAAGCATGAAGTACACGAGCATAGAAGAGCAAATTTGGAACAAAAAGAGAAGGATGGATATATACATATAAATATATGTGTGTTTTTATGTAGGTCTTTGGTTATTCGGGTTTTCTCCTGCGTCAAATTCGAAGTGTCTTGGCGATGTTTCGACAAAGTCTCATTCATCATCTTCAGGCTGGTGCTTTCGGCTTCGTGCTTCCAGGAGCAATGTGTGATCGTAGCTGTTTCGTCCTTTTAACTGCCAGTGGGGGTATGAACTGATTGGATGAGAGCTTGGCTGTGTTCTGATTGGATGGAGGTGTGTTCTGATTGGTTAGGAGCTTGGCTGTGCTCTGATTGGATGGGGGGTTGGCTGTGCTCTGACTGGATGGGGGGTTGGCTATGCTCTGATTGGTTGGGGGAGTGTTCTCTTTGGGTGGGGGCTTTGTTGTGCTCAGGTTAGTCTGAGTTGCATGGGGATGTGAGATGGTGAGCTGCATTGCTATTGTTTGGCTTCGCGTTCGTGGTCATGCCTCATCTTCATGGTGGGTGTCAGTTTCCTTCATGTATGGATTGGAGGGGTTTAAAGTGCCTAATGATGCAACTGTGGTCTGGCTTCTAGTTTGTGGTCGTACCTCATCATCGGTGTGGGTTTGGGTTTGCTTTTTGCGTGGACGTGTGGTGGTGACCTCCTGAGTGGCTTTTGTGAGTGTGGGTCTGGTGTCATTCTTTGTGTTAGAATAATCAGAGAAGCCATCGAGATAGAAAAACACCCACACATGAACAAATGAGCAGCCATTTGGAAACCCTCCCTTATTGACAAACGAGTCCCTAAGATGAAAACACCAAACTGAAGATGACGAATGGGACTTCGTCGAAACGTCGCCAAGACACTTCCAATTTTATGCGGGAGAAAACCCGAACAACAAAGACAGACAGACAGACATATATATACACACACACACACACACACACACAGAACTTTCACTGTGGTCTAGTTTATATGTAACACTATTTCCTTGCACTCAGTGCTTTGATATATTTTCTTTGACACAGTCAGGTGGGAGTCAGGTGGCATATCTGGATCAACAGTAGAGTTCCTCAAACTTCTGATTCTGACTTCAATCTGCCTTCCTTGCACTCAGCCTGAAAAGTGGCTCAGTTCATAACCTCCATGGCAGCTATGTCATAGATCCAAACCAGAATAGTGGTCACATATCAGATCTAATATTCTTATTGGAGCAATGTCAACGTGACCTGTGGGGGAATCTAAAAATATCCTTCTTTTACACCACCCGCCTCTGCAGAGAGACTAGATCCACCCAAATGGTCTGTCCCCAGAAGGAACTGGGGAATATCCTGGAGGATTTGCTGCACGATTTGCTGTCGAAGACTTGGAACAGCCTGGAATGATAAGGCCCCTGTGACTCTGGACAAGACTATGCCTATGTGATCTCTCTTGACCCTTCACTCCCATTGTTTCCCATGGTTCATAGAGGACCTAAAGGTTCTGAAACTATTTAAGAGAATGCCACTGGAGATGAGGATGAGTCTGCTATTAAGATCTAAAAAGAGTTGTAGTAGCACAGTGGTTAGAATGCAGTATTGCAGGCTACCCAGTCAGGAGTCTGATCCTGACGGGCTCAGTAAAATGAGGACAGAGATTGTTGGGGGCAATATGCTGATATTATAACACACTCAGTGCTGTAAAACAGGCGTCCCCAACCCCCGTGCTGTGGATCAGTACTGGTCCATGGCCTATTAGGAACTGGGCTGCACAGCTGGAGGTGAGCAGTAGGTGAGTGAAACTGCACATGTGCAGAATCTAGATTACATGCTCTCCCCTGTCAGTGGAAAAATTGTCTTCCATGAAACTGATCCCTGGTAACAAAAAAGTTGGGGACTGCTGCTATAAAACACTATAGAGTAATATATAAGTCTAAGTGCTATTGCTAATTCTGCAACAAAATGAAAAAACAATACTTCTCTGCTTTTATTTCATCTGCAAAGTGTTTCTCCTTGGCCCTGTTCCGAATTGCAGAATCCCTCTTAGGCTGGGAGGGGGAAAGGCTTGAACAATCATCCCCAAGACATCTCCAAATCTATCAAATAAAATCACTCAAGGTTTATTCCCAGTTGAAATCTTCCTGTGGTGCAGATCCTCATGAGGTGTAGGGAGTCATCTTGCCTAATAATTTGGGGAAGTGGAGAGGGTCCCCTGTGCTGTCAATTCAACTACCTCTCCATTTGATCCTTGTACCTCTGGGCTGATGAAAGCCTCCAGGACAGTAACCAGCAGATGAGTTCATGCAGTGATAAATGTTTCACTGTGAGAGGGGATATTCCTAGAATTTTTTAAGGAGGCTCTGGTTTGTCCTCTCCTTAAGAAACTATCATCTGACCAAACCTGCCTGGACGATTTTTGTCGTTTCCCATCTTCCTTTTTTAGAGAAAAAGGTAGAAAAGGTTGTTGCTTGGTAGCTCCAAAGAATATGAAAAGGATTTCCTGGACCTCTTTCAAGGCTTGGATTCAGGCCTAGCTATGAGGCAGAGACTTATGGATGGTCTCTAGTGAGAGTGAAATGGGAGTAATGCAACCATTCTCATCATTCTTGATCTTTCAGTGGCCTTTGATAGCATCAACCATGGTATTCTTTTGGTCAGCTTCATGAGTTGGATGCTGGATGGCACA